CACCACACACACAACTTTGTCTTCTCCATTCACAGCTCTAATTCACAGCTCTCTCCTCTCCGCAGGTGCTCGGCGAGGCGCGCAACGCGACGCTCGGCGCGGGCGGCGCGGGCGGCTCGCTGACGCGCGGCGAGGTGTTGCCGTGTGCGCGGAGCGGTGAGCGCCGGGACGTGTCCACGACATGTCCGGAGCACGCCCCGCAGGTGGTGGACTGCACGGAGCGGGTCGGGAGAGCGATGCTGCTCGAGCGAATCGAGGGCGCGGCGGCGGTGCTCGACGACGAGGTTCGCCGAGTCTGCGCTCGGGCTGTACCGACCTCGGCTCATCTCGGGCAATCTCGCCTGATCTCGGGTGCTCTCAGGTTCGCTTCGCCGAGTCTGCGCTCGGGCTCTGCCGCTTCGTCAACAACGCAGGGGTGGTAGCGACCGAGTTGGGCGTCGCGGCAGATATCGGCGAGGGGGGTCGAGCGAGGGGGCGGCGCCCGAGATGAGCCGAGATGAGCCGAGATGAGCCGAGGTTGTAGGCGAGGTCCTGTACGAGGGGGCGGTGCCGCGGCGCAAGCTCGAGCGCATCTACACGTCGGCGCTCACCCTCGCCGCGCCCGAGCTGCTGTCGCAGATGGGGATGGGGATGGGGATGGGGATGGGGGAGGAGAACGCGACGGCCGACGCGCCGGAGGCCGTGGCGGGCGTCGACTTGGAGACGGTGGCCGTGTGATGGCGCCGTTGCTCGAGGTCCGACTCAGATTGATTCAAGGAGAGGGAGGCGTGACTGGTTAGGTGACCATGATGGCGCCGCTGCTCAAGATCCGGGAGCAGAAGGCGGAGAGGCTGATGCAGGAGACGATGCAGCGGGTGATGACGGCGATGATGGGAGGCGACGACGGCGACGCCCCTTCGGGCGCGCAGATGGAGCAGGCCGTCGGGGATGCTCGAGGCTAACGAGTATGACTGCTTCTTCTGATCAGTTCATCGTTGATGGAGCAGGCCGTCGGGATGCTCGAGACGCTCGTCGAGTCGGGCGCCGTGCCGCCCGAGGAGCTCGAGCCTCTGCGCGGGATGGTCTCTCCAGATCTCCCCATATCTCCCCAGATCTCCCCATATCTCCCCATAGGAGCTCGAGTCTCTGCGCGGGATGCTGTCGCAGTCGATGGGCATGCCGGTGGAGGAGATGCTCGAGCGGAAGGAGGAGCTGATGGCGCGGCTGCCCGCCGAGGGGAAGCCCGTTCGTGACTTGATCGCTGTAAGCTGTCTCTGATTGGTTCGCAGGAGCAGCTGCCCGCCGAGGGGAAGCGGCTCTTCGCCGTCATCGACAAGCTCTTCGGCGCAGGGGCAAAGGGCGGCGGATCCGCCTCCGGCGGCGGCGCGGCCCCCGCCGCCCCTGCGCCGCCGCCCGTTGACGAAATCGTCGACGACCCGTCCGCCGCGGTCACAATCAAGCCGGGCGCGCTCTCGCCCGCCGCCGCCGCCGCCGCCGTGGAGCCCTCGGCGGCGGCCAACGTCCAGGTCACAGTCAAGGTCAAGTCGGACACGCCGCCGCCCGCGCCGCCGCCCGCGCCGCCGCCCGCGCCGCCGCCCGCGCCGCCCTCCGCCGCGTCCGCCATCAGCGAAGTGTCTGGGGAGCCGATGTCGGCGGAGGAGTTCATCGCATCCGTCGAGAGCTCCGCGCAGCAGCAGCAGCAGCAGCAGCAGCAGCAGGCCCCCGCCGAAGGCGACGCCACTTCCGGCACCTAATGTCGCGCAAGGAAGGCAGGAGGCGGGTGGAATGAGGTGCGAGGTGTGGGATGGAGAGGTGGGCGCGCTGACGGCGCGCCTAAGTGCTTGGTGCCACGTACGCCGCGGCGGTACTCTCTCGACCGGAATCCGGGTCTCTCGCGGTGCAAAGGCCGTGAAGCGCAAGAGAGCGGGAGAGTTGAACTCACTCTCGTGTCAGATTCATATCTCGCGGGCAGTGTTCCTGCAGTGCTGTGTACCAGAAACGAGAAAGAGCGATGCGAAAAGAACTCGGCCGATGAGGACTCATTCCCAAGCTGCAGAAACGAGCTTTTAGTGGCACTGAGATTATGGTGCGCGCGGAGCGCGCTGGTGCTACTCGGACATACGCGCGGAGCGCGCTAGCTAGACCGCGCGGAGCGCGCCGGCTAGATACCGCGGAGCACGCAAATCAACGCAACCGTTCGAATGCTGACGCCGCAAGTCGTTGCCGCCGGTTGCCAAAGTGCGCCTGGATTGCTCAGCAGCACAAGCATCCACGGAGCCAGCGAGCGCCGAGCGACATTGCCTTGACTGAGCCGGACCGGGACATGTAAAATGGTGCCGATAGCCGAGGAGCGAGGTAGCTCCGGGGCGGACGTGAGAGCACGGCCTGACGATCAAGCACGAGAGCGACGAACGGAGGCGCAGATAACTGGCAGTGAACTCACTGCTGATACCTGCTGGAGCTGCGGAAGATGCAGTAGCACTGCTGCAGAGCACGCGCGGAGCGCACCGCTGGAAAGCACGCGCGGAGCGCGCCGCTGGGTAGGCGCGGAGCGCTGCCACTTGAGACTGGGCCTGTGGCGTGGGCCGAGTGGTTCCTGCGTGTGAGTCAAACTCTTAATAGAGATCGCATCTAGCCCTCCACAACCCTCAAAATTTTCTTCGGGGCGCGCTCCGCGCGCGGCGCTCCGCGCCTCACTCCTTGAGCGTCATAGGCGCTGGCCCGCACATGTTCTGCAGCTTGGACTCATTCACTCAAAAATATACACGGCTCTGACGGCTCTTCACTGCTACGGGGTGCGTGTGGAGGGTGAGTTGAACAGGGGTTGTGCGCCAAGCCCTCCTGCTCGGCTCCAGCCGGTAGACAAGTCTTGTCATGGATCTGACCTCGGGGCCGATGTGACCAAGCGCTAGTACTACCTACCTCTCTCTTCCGGTTCCGCGCGCTCGCGCTCTGCCGCTCTCAGTAGACAGTACGGCTTTACTCAGACAACCCCGGTGTGACGGTCTGCGAGCGAGAGTTTTTGAGAGCTTCACACCCCGGTTAAAATGAAAAAATCGTGTCTCTGCTGAGCCTGTCTCTCTCTCTCTACTCTCTCTCGCTATATAGTCTATTCGTAAGCGCGTGCGGATTGGTTTTGGTAACTTGTATAACACGGTCTCACGGTGCACACCTTCCTTCGCCATGGCCAAACGCCAAGGCAGGGGGAAGGCATCGCCCGCATCCCGCTTGAAAGCAGACAGGGCGAAGAGAGGTCTCCCGCCAATCGTCATCGATCTGTGACTTGATGTGCGTGAGCGTGTGGTGCAGAGGCCTGGCCGTGGGCGCGCCCCCCGTCGTGCGGCTCAGCTGGCTCGAAGCGCCGGAGCGCAGCGGGTCTTCAGGCGCGGCGCGCCCGCTTGCTGCCCTCGAGGTGCTTGCCCTCGGTCTCGTGCGCCAGCGCCGCCTCGAGCTGGCCCGCAAAAGTGGCCCACCGGCTGAAGAAGGCCTCCATGCTCGTCTTGGCCTCCTCGGCGAAGAAGGCGTGCGTCGCGACCAGCGCCGCCTGCATCGCCTTGAGCTCGTCGCACAACGCCTGTCAGTAATGAATCACGGCTCGAATGCTTGTACTGCTGAGGCCTTGAGCCCGTCGCAGGACGCCTCGACGCGCGGCTCGACGCTGTTCACAAACGGCTCGAGCACCTCGACCAGCCGGTCGGCGCCTCCGTCGGCGGCGGCGGCCGCAGACGCGGAGCGAGATGCGCGCGAGTGGAAGGAGAGCTCGTCCTTGACGGCGGCGAGGGAGCCTGTTAATCATTAACGACTCATCCGCGTGCTCAACAACGGAGAGCTCGTCCTTGACGGCGGCGAGGGAGCCGATGAAGCGCCCCGCCTCGTCCGCCACCTCCGACATCGAGAGGCGCGCCGCCGCCTTGATGCGTTGCCAACGACTCGTTAGCATTCATTAACGAATCTCCATCATCGAGAGGCGCGCCGCCGCCTTGACGCTGCCGAGCTGCTGCGCCAGCCGCTCGAGGGCCGCCCACCCCTCCTCGCTGGCGGCGGCGCAGTGCTGCAGCGCCACGGCCAGCAGCGACGACGGCGGCGTCGAGTTTGTGCGCAGCTCCGCCAGCCGCGGGAGGGCGTCTGTGCGGAAGCCCTCGGCCGAGCCGCGAAAGGAGTTTCCGTTGAGGGCGTTGCCCAGCCAGAGGGTAACGCCGAGCAGCCGCCGCAGGTCCGCGGAGTTGCACAGCGTGCCGCAAGCCGCGCTGACGGCAGCGACGTCGCACGCCGCCGCCCGAAGCGAGCCCTCGAAGCGGAGCAGGTAGGCGAGGCACTCGAGCCGCTTCTGCAGCCGCGGGACGGTGCCAACCTCGGCGACGAAGCGCTCCGCGAAGCCGAGCGCGGCGGTGGGGACGCCCGCATTCGCCACGAGCTCGAGCTCCTCGGCCGAGGGGACGCACTTGAGGAGCGCGTTCACCGAGTCGAGCGGCAGCGCGGCGGTGTCCATGGCGAGGACCGCGCGCCGCATCGCGTCGAACGGGAGCTTGACCGCCGACAGGATGATGCCCAGGTTGTTTGCGCGCTTGGGGTCGAGCAGCGTGACCTGCTGCCACACCCGCAGCTGTGAAGAGACGCTGCAGAGACACACTCACGCCTCGAGACCCCGGCAGCGTCACCGCGCTCTCGCCGCGTGCGGTTGCGGGCGGCGCGCCGGCCGCGCCGCCGCGCCCGGCGCTGGCGGCGGGCTTGGCCGCCTTCTTCCCGCCGGGCGGCATCACCGAGAAGAGGTCGGCCACCTGCGGGGCGAGAGGTGCGGCGAGAGGTGCGGCGAGAGGTGCGGCGAGAGGTGCGGCGAGAGGTGCGGCGAGAGGTGCGGCGAGAGGTGCGGCGAGAGGTGCACTCGAGGTGCGCCCGAGGTGCGCCCGAGGTGTCAGCCGAGGAGAGGCAGGCCCCACCTGCGCGGCGAGCTGGTCGGCGTCGAGTGGCAGCGGCTCCGCGCGCACCGCGTCCCACACCGTCCCTCCGATCCGGTTCTTTGGCACCTGGGCGAAGGGAGATTGGCCGAGATGTGGGCGAGGCGTGGGCGAGGTCACGCCGAGATCTGTGGCCGAGTGTCTGTGCGCGCCGTGCTCCCCCACAACAGCGGACGCCAGTGGCTTGAGCTTCGCTGTATATCGGCTGTATCTCGGCTGTATCTCGGCCACATCTCGCGCTGCACCTTGCTCCACACCAGCGGCTTGAGCTTTGGCCCCTTGGCGCCGAGGCCGCCCTTGCCCTTTCCGCCGGCCGGGGGCGGCGGAGGAGGGGGAGGAGGCGCGGGGGCGGGCGGCGGGGCGGCGGGCGGCGGAGGCACCGCACCGCCGAGCGGCGGCGGCGGCAAGAGCCCCAGGGAGGACGACCCTGGCAGCGGCGGCGGCGCGAGCGGCGGCGCGAGCGGCGGCGCGAGCGGCGGCGCGGCAGAGGCACCTCCGGGGGGCGGTGGCTGGAGCGGCGGCGGCTGGAGGGGCGGGGGAGCCATCGGGAGCCTTGCGGCGAGCGACTCGCGCAGCGCAGAGACGTTCACCGCCACCTCCGCTTCCGCCGCCTCCACCTCCGCCGCGCCGGGCAGCGGGGGCTCCTCCGCCGCACCGGGCAGCGGGGGCGCGGCGGCCGACACTGCACCGGGGAGCGGCAGCTTGCCCGCCAGCGACGCGCGGAGGCGCGAGACGTTGACAACGACGTCCTCGTCCTCGTCCTCGTCCTCGCCCTCCTCCGGCACCGCGGCCGGCCCGACAGCGCGGGGCAGCGGGACAGTGTCGCTCCGGGCCAGCGGCGGAGGCGCGCCGGATGAGGATGCCGCGACGGCGACAGCAGGCTCCGCCTCAGAGGCCGACGCGTCCGCTTCGGAGGAGGGCTTCGGTGCCGGTGCGGCCTGCGGCGGGCCCATGGGGATCCGGCCGGCCATCGAGGCGCGAAGGGACGCCACGGTGGTCGACACCTCGGCTTGCTCGGGCTGCGGCGGCGGCAAGCTCTCGGGCCTGGCGGGGCGGGTCGGGATAGCCGGCAGCTTGTACACCTTGCTGTTCGCGTCTCCGGCGGAGAGCTTCAGCTCGGATTGCGGCTTTGCCGGCGGCCGCGCGCTCAGCGTGGAGAGGTTGAGCGTGATGTCGTCGTCGCCGGGCACAATCTGCGCGAGTGCGCCGCCGCCGGCGGAGCGCTGGCGAGCGCTCCGCTTGATGAAGATGCAGTCGCCTTCGTCCTGCACGCGTGGGCGGGGGGCGGGGGCGGGTCAGGAGTTGGGACTGGGAACGGGCCACAGATACTGGGCCGCTGGGCCGCGACCTCGAAGTCCATGGCGTTCAGTTCAAGTGAGGGGTTTCAAAATTCTTTTTATTTAAAGGCCAAGGGCAGCCGCCTAATCAAAACGAACAGAGCGCTAGCGCTCTGTTCGCAGCGCTCTGTTCGCGCAAGCTCGCACGGCCTCTCACGCTCCGCTGCTGCCATCTTGAAATTCGCGCGACAGGCAAAGCGCGGACGACGGCTTCTATAGCTCCTCACAGGAAAAGAGAAACTCCGCATGTGTATGTGCGGCGGAGCGCCGGCAATCCTTTCCAGGCTGCCCGAGCTGGTGCGCGCGCGCGGCAGCGGTTGCTACTTTGTGACGGCCCTGGCGAGCCGCGGTTGCTGCTTTGTGACGGCCAGCCACCACTCCGTTCGCGATGATCAACCCGCTAAAACAAACTCACGCCCACCCACCTCTCGCATTCTCATTCATTCGTGCTCAGACCTGCTTCGCCCCAACCTGCACCTCATGCTGCGACAGAGAAGATGGCGGGGCTGCGCCGCTAGAGAAAGGCGACCATGAGGGTGATGGGTGGCCGCAACTGCCAAATGCGCCAGCCAACCACAACACAAACATGAGGCCTGATGTGACAACCATTCCTCCGACGAAAGTGATGCCACCCACGCAGCCGGCGCCACAGCTGCTACCTTCACCCGGCAGTGGCGGTGAAGCTGGAGGCGATGGAGGCAGAGATGGAGGTGGAGGTGGAAATGGAGGTGGTGACGACGGAGGCGAGGCCGGCGGCGATGGAGGCGATGGAGGCGATGGAGGCATCGAGGGAGGTCGAAAGCCGAGGGCGTGGAGGATCTCGTGCGTGACCAGATTGCGCCACCTGTCGACCGCCTTTTCGCCCCGGCCATTGACGAGAAAGCCCTGGTCGCGGTAGTAGCAGTTCGACTGTGTCGAGCTGCACGAGCTGCGCACAACCTTGTCGTCCATCCGCTCGACCCAGGCGAAGACCAGCCAGAGCGGCCGCCCTTGCGAGTCGACGGCGCACGAGGAGCCAGTGCCAGCGACGCCCGAGTACACCGGCGGCTTTGTCACCGAGAGCACGACATCGGCGTCGACCCCGTCTTGACAGTACTCCGCGCCCACCGAGACGGATGAGAGAATCTGGCAGCTCGAGGCGCAGCGGTTCTCGGTGCTGTAGCCGCGGTTCGCGTACGGGTGTCCGCTTGAGTAGCGCATCGTCAGCGCACCGTCGCTCGCCAGCACTGCGAGCTTTGCCGACAGCTCGTCCGCCACGATCGTCGAGACGTGCTCGATGATTTCCTTTGCGTCGTCTGTTATGAGATCGGACCCGAGGCAGCGGCCCCAGCAGCCCTCCCCCATCGCGATGGTGTACTCACTCTGGTCACGTGGACACTCTTTGTACGTCACGCCATCCGGGGGGCCGGCTCCGGGAAAGCCTCGCTGGTACCATTTGCCCGCTTCGAAGCAGGCTGTGTGCTCCAGTGCCGTGGCTTCGCTGAGCGAATCAAAGTTGAGCTTGAACCGGATCGGACGAGTGGTCTCCAGAGTCAGATCGGTCAGCCGACGGCGCCGAGCAACTTCGTATTGCTGAGGAGCGACCTCTGGGTCGGCGCCGAGGAGGTCAATGAGGGCGAGAGCGGAGCGGCCCGGCACGACAGCCGGCGAGCGTCCACGAGCCTCGATCGCCGGCGGCGGAATAGCCAGCAGGAGGGGCAGCCAAGCCAAGCCGAGCGTCATCTTGCGCGGCTCGAACCAGCTGGAGTTCGCTTTCGAAGCGCTTGTTTGTTTATCTGAAAAATTCTTTTTTATTTAAAGGCCAAGGGCAGCCGCCTAATCAAAACGAACAGAGCGCCAGCGCTCTGTTCGCGCAAGCTCGCACGGCCTCTCACGCTCCGCTGCTGCCATCTTGGCGGCTCTCCGCCCGCCAGCTCGACCAACTGGACCGCGGAGAAGGCTGGGCTTTTTCGGGGTGGATTGATTAGGGCCGTCCTTGGCCTTTAACCCTTTTGCTTCATAAGGGTCCTGAGGACCCAATCTCGATATATCTCCAGTCGTAGCGGTGGAACTTTAAAACGGCTCGGTAAATATTTAGCCATATATGAGAGGATTACGCCACAGTGTCGTTTGAGTCGACAGTAAATCTCCCACAGCCCACGTAAATCCGTCTTTTTCAGGCACCCGGAGCCCTCCGCGGCCGCTTCTACGCCGGCGAAGCACCATCAAGCTGCTGTACGGCCCCGGCATCGCCTCCCCTGGCTTAGCTCTCAGTCAAGATATTGTGCACATGGGTCATGGCGGGTGGCCTCTAGAGCGGCTGCACTCTGCTCGCTACCCCCCCTGCACAACTAAGCTCATGGCCGACCCCCCCCCCAGCAGCAGCGCTCTGCTGCTGGGGGGGTCGGGACCCCCCCCCCAGCAGCAGCGCTCTGCTGCTGGGGGGGGTCCGGACCCCCCCCCCCAGCAGGAGCGCTCTGCCTGTGGGGGGTGCTGGCATCTCTGTACAGACATGGATGAACAACTCTCTCACACAATGGTCACAAGTCTTTAGTAAAACGCCCGCACTCGACACGACGAAGGTGTATTGGGCTCGAAGGCGCGGCGAACACAACCGCCTCGAGCGTACGAGTACCGCTTAAACACGAACCCAGGGCGGAAAGGGGGGGGCGGCGGCCAAGAAGCGGGAAAACTGGGTCCAGTGCGCTCTGCTGCTGGGGGGGGGGGGGGGGGCCCCCCCCAGCAGCAGAGGGCTGTTGGTGGGGGGGGG